CGGGCTAGCTGTGAGCCAGCCCCCGTGTACTGTCACCGCGGCACGCGCACGTCTTGCAAGATTGCCCCAGCCGACAAAGAAAGGCGCAAGGAAGTTCGGCGGGGCCCCCTGCTCCAGTCATCCTGAAGTGAAACCGCGGCCCCGGCTATCTCTTCTCCTCCATAAATGACAAGCTCCACAAATGGCTTGCCTGGGGGAAACTCTCTGATAAATGACCGGGGGAGATGAGCGGCGCGCGACCCCCCGATTGTTGCACACCACTTGTCCCTCCCTTTTACGGCTGGGGAAATGACAGATTGTGCCGTTCATTTGAGATGTACCAACAAAAAAAATAAAATAAAAAAAATAAAAAATAGAGTATAAAGGGTTGGGGTTGGTCTCGCCAATTCCACTGGGTGGGACAGTTTTAACGGGCAGTACAAATCTTGCCGTATCATGCTACACCCAGACTCTCCGCTCAATAGGGTTGGGTTTCGGGCTTGGGTGGAGCTGGCTTTTTACCTGAGCACTACAAACCATTTTGTTTATGAAATTCCCACCCCCGGGACGAAATGAAGCGGCTTTCGGCTCCCCTGAGGCTTGGCAAATTGGTATACGATATCTACGGTCCTTTGTTCCGGGCTAGATCTCGCCTTCGTTGAAGGGTTGTCGCTTGTTGTCGTTGTGGACTGACGCACCTGTGCTGAGCAAGTCGCAACGGTAAAGACCCTTTGAAATGAGGACACGAACGCCGTTTTCCCCCCTTTTTGGGAGGGGGAATGCTTTGGTCAATTCACCAGGGTTTGGACCCAAGTAAATGACCAGTAGGCTCAATCACTGAGGTCATTTCTCGCACAAGGATCAATGTGCATTAACACTAAGCCGGGACGAGTTGGTCATCTTGCGAGTCTTCTGTAAAGTGCTCCGCGTAAAAGAAAGAAGAAAACTGGCTGCCTTATGGTAAACCCCGCGTACAGAATTACAAAGCGGTTCTGTAGCGTCTTGTTTTCATCTTTTTGATGAGAGTGACCGGGCTGTGAGATGCCGTGGTCCGTCGAGGCTGGTCGTCCAACGCAGGCCAGCTTGATTGGCAGGAGCTTGCGTTTCATCTTGGGCCGCAGGCTACAGCAACAGAAGGTTTTATTCCAAATATCTCGCCAGCGGGCGGTCGGCCCATTCACCGGGATAAATGGCCTTAGTCGGCCCGTCAGGCCTCGACTCCGTTCTCTGGTTTTCGCATCGAGGCCTGGAAAACCTGTCAAGCATCTGCTCAACTCGTTCCAACCACAAACTCTGACAAATTGCCAACCTTTTTCCTGTCTTGTCCTTCGAGCCAAAGTCTTTTGTGCTAAGCCGAGAGGTCCCCCTAAGCTCTTCTCAATATCTAGGTTGCCGGGTAGGACATGTCTGGGCAAAAAGGTCAGGGGTCACGCCGATTGCCATACTTCTGTTGCTTGTGCCGAAAAGCATCAGAAAGTGCCTCCTTTCCCAAATACAAGACTTTAAAGGTCAAACCAGAGGAGCATGCCTTCCGGGTCAGAATGATATGAAATAATCTGGGGCAACATCTAACAACGTCTAAAGTGCATTGCAGTTGACGATCTGAGATTTTCACGCCGCAGAGCACTTAGTCTTTTGTTGACAAGAGACAATGCACCCAAAGCGACCGAAGAAGAAGGCATAGAACTAACCCATAACATTACGTAAGATATCATTACCAAGACCAGTTATTAGTTAAATAAATCGGGCACAAGCTACGGATACAAAGTCTTTACATCTGATACCACTAACAGGCCACGAAGTCTGTTGATTTGAAGTAGCAACTGTAGGCCTGAAACGGGGAGAGTTTGGAACATCAGTGTGAACAAAAATTAGAAAACACTGTGCACAGAGAAAAGATGGAATGAATTACAGGGCATAAAAACTTCCTTGTTTTTTTGCGGGGATGTTACGCGGCACAAGTTACAGAATTCCCTGGAAAAGGCACGATAATTAAAATTTTTGGTGGACACCAGATTTCTGAAATGCCAGAGCCGTGAATAACCATGATACTAACAGGGCGTATTCAGGAATTTTTCTGGTGGGGTCAAGCCGTAGATTTTTTAATGTCTCATTTTTGCGGTCAAGCCGAAACGATGATGAAACAAGACATGCATTGTTTACAAAGATATCGGTGCACTTACCTTTGTACGCACAAGCCTCTTCGGGATGATATCTTGTTTTTAAATTTATTTTAGTTATTTTGTTTTATTATCCCCCCCTCCCCATTATTATTACCTTTTGGTTTGTTTTTTTTTATTTTTTTTGTCTCAAAGCGGGGCGGGGGATATAAACCCACTTAGATCTGTGACTGACCAAGTCGGTTTAGTATAAAAAAAAAAGCATATTCAACAATGGAGATTTCCTGACGCAACGGCTGATGTAACCAACATTGTATACGCGTATACGGGTGGCATGCGGCACAACGTATAACTCTGACTTGCAAATGCATATCGAAGGCGGCATTTAGAGCATAGTTTGAACCCCAGAGGAGGAGATTTTATTTTTGGAACCACCCTGCAAGAAATGCTACTTCTGCATTGGCATTTACCTGTACCTATGTTTCACATGCGATATGGCTCCAAGAGTGAGCTGAAAACTTTTGATCTCTCACTTCAGCAAGATTTAATTTAGCCAAACATTTAACCCAAACACAGAAGTACATGTACATGTACACACATTTGCCTATACAGGTGTGTTAGTCTTCTCCATTTCACTCTTTCCATGTCACAATGAAAAAAGGCTAAATGTCTTCCATTGCAGGCCTGCAATGCCATAGTGCCACCTTTTATCACCACTTCTGTCATCTCAATGCAATGAATCACAAGTGCTCAATGCACGATACTTTTTCCTAAAGTTAATCCTTGGTACGAAGTGTATCAAAATGCTTTCAGCTAACAACATTGTGAGAGTGAATTGAAAACCCACAGTTTTTCCACTGTTATACCATCCTCTGATTTGTGTAGGCTTTAATTTTCTTAAATTGGTTTTACTGATATAAGCACTCTAAACAAAGTAATTAGAAATAAAATGGAAATGGATTTATCCCTTTGTGCCCTTGTGAAAAATCTCGCTGCTGTAGTGTTCTTTTTAGCCTGTGTCTGGTCTCTTCTTTCAATTTCTTTGTATTATGTGCTGGTGTTCATTCATTCGGTTAGCCATGTATTGTCTTTAAATTTGCTGATCGCTTTCATTCTTTCGCGTATTTTTGTTAGCCTTTTAATTGACATCTGTAATTTTCATTTTGTTATTTTTTCACATCTTTTTAGATTTTAACTAACATGTTTCATGTATTATTAACGCCATTTAGCTATCGCGCTGTTTTTGATAAACCAATCAACACAATGGCACTCGTTTGGTCTCTGCTGTTCAATGATAGTTAACGTTGCTCGCGCGTTTAGCGATTCACATGGGACACATTAAGGCCTGTGGACAACGTGTGGGGTTGTGGCACCAGAAAAAACTCCATTATCTTGATTATCTCTTTCTTTGGTTTACCAAATACGAGTTACTTGTACAACAACATAATTACGGACACCAATGTCCTTGTCTTGGGACACTTATTACGAACGGCGTGCATAATGTCGTTGGTATATACCTCAATATTGTAGCCGGATGGAGTCTTCGGTGACGAAACGCATGGCCATTGTGGAATTAATTGAAATAATCACTGGTGGGTGAAGTATCGCCAGCCACTCAATGCAAGATGGGGATGATTTGTTTACAACAGGTGATACGGGAGAGGGAAAGATTGAATAATTCAGCAAAATTTATTCTCCGATGAATGGAATATCCCTGACAACTTATATTAATTGGTTTCCGTTCGTCTGACTGTCCAAACACTGCAGAGAGAATACAGATGACGATAAAGCGCATAACGCGGTGGACATCTCTAAATTTTAGGCTGACTTTGTTTTATTTTATTTTACTTTACTTAGGAAGGACCAACACAGTCAAGTTAAAAAGTGTAAAGAATTCAGTGCATTTGAATAAGATTTGGAGAAACGTTATCACTTGAAAACTTTAATTGTCACGTGTGACTGTACTTCAATATATATGCTCTTCTCAAACTCATTTCAGTTGGTGGAAATATTCATTCTCTATAGGGAGTGAAAAACGAAACAAGAATAATTATCTAATGAGAAATGTGAGTAGAAAATGCTTATGGCGATGCACTGAATGTCCTTTAAAACATAACAAGAACGTTGAATCGATGAAGACTCTAAAATATCAAAAAAACCTCGCCCATAGGCGCATGTAAATCCCTGCGATGAACAGAATTCAAAATCCATCCCATCATTTGGCGAATTAAACTGATCTCACCATAATTCGGGGAAACTACGCACGAGTAACTAAAACAGCAAACCTTAGAAGCAGCTTCATTTAAGTACCTTTGCAACAGTTTTCCCCACCAAAATGGTAAACGGCAGAGTACAAAAACAAGATCAATAAATAAATGAAACAAATTATCTCCACTATGTTCCGCCAATTTTGTTTGTAATTTATTCAAGTACCTCATGCAGAAACGCTTGGATTACGACAAAAGGGGTCATCTTGTGTGTCTCGAACATCTGTGCACACTTTTACTGCACGATGCACTCATTGCAGTAACGTGATATGAGTATGGTTCATAGGATCAGTCATAGTCTGTGTCTGCACTACAGCTGTTAAATGTTGGCGCTTTACAGGCAAACAACAGAGCCGTAGCCGCTCGTTACCCGGTCTCGACGCGGCATCACTTCTAGGGGCACTCTAAACCAACAAGCCCTTTTGCCATTCTCTCCACCTCATGCGGCTGGATGTGTACAAACCTCCCCAGGGAAAGTGAACCAGTCAAATATTATTTTTACCCCTTCAGAACTTTTCTTAAGTACCTGCCCATTAGTCAGAGACGGGTGCACGGTTTACTAGAAACGGGCGCCAGTCACCCGGCGAAATGAAATGACTGGTCAGTATTTAACAAATGAGCTCAAGACCCTCAGTCCGATTCAGTATATGTTCACTGACATTTAATTCCATACCTTTAGACAAAACTGATGCTAGTGAAAGGGATTTCTCCACACTTTCTCCTTTTTTTCTGATAAGCTTTCAAATTTTTAATAATTTTATACTCAACTACCAATGAACAGTATGAAAGATATAACTTGATATTATGATAGAATATTTGATAAGATGGTGACTGATTAATAAGTGACGGATTAACCTCTCCATGTGGTTTCTGCACAAAATATCTTGCCTGTCTGTCAATGTCATCCAATCCCATAATGCAACGAGAATATCGAACCCGTTAATTCAGGCTTGGGAAACTGTATACATGTATTCCAAAACCGGAAGCCGCATCCATTTTATACAGATCTGGTCATTAGAGATTCTTCAACAATACGTGGCACACCGCCACTGCTTGGTGCTACCTAAGCTGGGGGTGGACTCAGAACATAACAAGGTTTGGCCGTTTGTTGTATGGGCACCCATGGCCAAAGAAAACTCAATCATACAAATATACATGAGAAAAAGTCACCTCGATGATGTCGAGTTTTTTGTGGAGTCGTTCCGTCTGCAATTGTGTCTTTCCGGAGATACTCCGAAAACTTTCACATTCCTGCGGGGGATTAAACAAACACTTGTCACACACTTCAGTTGAAATATCGAATTGTGGTTGTAGAGTCTGGTGGTAAAATACAGAAAAGATAACATCGTTACATGACACAAGCTGTTCAAACATACATGTATATGTATGAAAGAATCATCTTTTTGACAGAAAAGTGGTGACATCGGTGGTAAAAAAGATCTAAAATTACAAGATAGTTTGTCCGACATTCATGTACTTTGAGCCCGGAACTCACGGGTCTCGTGAATTGAACCTTTGTACGATTTCAAAATGTGTCCTGTCTTAAGTTAGAAATTGGGATTAAAATTGTTATTGATTTTTACGATTGTCTTTCCTGAGACAAAAAAATACAAAATAAATTAGCAATATTTTCAGTAAATTTTAATGATTTCGACCAAAAACCTTTAAAAGAAACGAGAGGTTGAGCCAGGTTGGAATGCAAGGAATGCATCGTAATGAATACGTCCAGACATGGGAGTGGATTCTCCATAAAAGGCAAAGTTCAAGTGGTCATTGATTAATGCGTTACCGTGGCAACGTTCCAACAACGTTCCAAAAAATATGTCATGGCAACATTGAAGGATCATGGTCTATTTCGGCTTTTCTTATTGAACATTTTGTTCACTGTAATCCCTCCTATCACAGCAATCCATTCCTCGTTTTGAGGTATTATTCGACAAAAAAAGCTCGATCAAACATTTAAATGAAGGCTCCAGGCAGGGATTTGTTTTTCAAACATTAACTGTGTCGCAGAGCTCAATTTTCACTCAATTGTCCAAATTCAAATCAACACGATCGATTGGGCAGTGTCCTCATTCCCCACAGCAACCCCCCCCGAAAAAAGATTGGTGCCGTCGCAAGTTAGCGGAGCACCGTACGTAACGTGGACACAGGGTTCCCACAATTCTTGCCTGTTCGATACGGGAGCAAGGGGAGGAACACACGCAACCCCAGTCACCGGCATCACTCTTGTAATTCGACGGACGCCAAAGGCGCTCCATGGACCCTTTCGATGAACACATGAGCCCCACTGCATAATGTACTGCGCGTTTAGCAATATGATGAGAAAAAACCCACGGCGTAGAAATCAATTCTAATCCCAGGCATCCCACCGCTTCACAGTATCATCCGTCCCTCCCCGATACTGATTTGTTGTTCGAATCGACTACTGTGTCATCTGGGGCAACGGTGCTTCGATGTCGCTAAGAAAACACCCGTGACATCGGCTGGAGAGACGAGCAAGCTTTTGCCGGTCGGTCATCCACCCGACAAGCCAGGGCGAGCGGAGAACACGCGCGAAGTCCTCTGTGCTGCCAACGCACAACCGAACTCGTTGGCGACCAATCACCCATCCCATGACAAGATATGAAATCCGAATATGATAAATGGTCGAATCTGCGGCCGGCGGTGACAAATTATGACGCAGGACCCACGGGGATTCCCCCTTTGGTACTGGTCAGAGGCGAAAAAAAATTCACCACGTCGCAAAAACAAACGCCTCGGCAGCCTCGCTCGTTGCCAAACCTTGCCAGTGGGCACTGGATCGCTCGGGCGATGCAAGCCAAGATGCCACGTACTGACACGGTCCCCCCTTATCACGCTTATGCCTTGCCGTAATCCAGCAACATCTTAAGTGTATTCATGAAAAACGAATTACGGCATCGCGGAAAGGGAAAGCGAAGCTTGGCCAGGAAACAAGGCGAAGCAGCAAGCGGGGGCAAAGCCAGGACGCAGGGGAGACGTAAGGCACATGGATAATTGAAGCCCAGCGCAGCGCAGAACCCATGTGCGCGTCTCTCACGGGTCATTCAGTTCTCTTAATAGTTTAGCGAGAATGCATTAAACAGCAGAGGGAATAGGGGCCTGGGATTGCCGCTCCTCAGGGAAGAAATCTTCAGGGGAGACAATAGCGAGACCTAGAAGGCATTTAGATCATCAGACGAGGTGCGTGCGAGGAGGATTTGCTGAATTGGCGATGGGCAAACGCAGACAGAAATCATGGCCAGAGACGAATGTGAAGAAAATGGATGATTATGACCAAAGCTTAGAAAATCATCGTCCAAAACCTTCTGTCTGTCACATTTCTTGGATGTTTAATATTTCACCGTAATTCCACAGTGATTCTCACCTTTTAAGCCCATATTCTGACAAAAATTCAAAGTTCCTTTTTTGCGGGTAAAATAAACGACAGAAAAAAAAACTGCGTCCGCACCTTTACACGTGCAATTCAGTATCTTGACATTTGTATAATTCTTTCCTATGGAAACACTGCTGGAGACAGTGGCTGACCCTGTCGCGACAGACATTAATGGTCAGACACCCAATCGGACGCTAATTGTACATCTACCAAGGAAATGCACTCCACAAAGATTATTGATTGCACGACTGTACAGAATATTTTCATATCTGGAATTAGCCGAGGTGTCTGTTCTTCACAATCATATCACGAGTCATAACTCACTGGTGATGCAGACACACTAAATCGCTGGTGATGAAAATCAGCAGTTTTCCTTCCTTCTGAAACCAGGGGCCCGTTATCGTCATGCTCAGGCTCTGGTCTAGATTCCTGTCTTCAGTGAGTGCAACTATGCAACTAAATTTTACATGTTCAGTTAACCCCTGCACAGCCTATTGTTGATATCGAGATGTCGTATAGGGACTGCAACGTAAGACTAAGCAATTGTCGAGGCAATCAACGCATACATTTTGTCTTTTCTTGTCATTTTAAGAATGAACTTATTCCTCCATAAAAGACCACGGAGGTCATAGGGGGGGAAGAGCCCCCTCATATCTTTTTGTAATTAATATGGAATCTCACGCATTCAAGTGATGGATTTTTCTAGCACCAACCGAAGAAAAAAAGTGATAAATAAAACTTTTGCGTAGTAGCCCGTCAAAGCATTAAGAAAGAAGGGGGAAGGTATGCGTTTAGATGTTTCATAGGGATGAATAGAAAATATGTAGATGAATATCAAGCAGTGTTTTACAATGATACTTGTTGTTTTTTGACCTCTTAATGGATTGATTTATTCGTATAGTGCTCAGAAATGGTTAAAAAAACTCATGCTGCTTAATCAATACCGCTTTTTAAACAAGTTCAACAATGACATGGTTTCTGCGATGACAAGGAAAGCCTGTCAATTGGTGACCTACAACATGCAGAGGTCACAGCGCCTGCCCAAACCGATTTTGTGTTTGACTACTGGAGAAAGCGTTGCTCGAGCTGGCATCATGGTACGGGATAGGTCTACACTGAAACGCTATCGGCCTGTTTACTTCAAATAGCTCCTCAATGTCATCTGGAAAAAGTTGAAATTCCTTCCTCGACTATTGCTTTGTTGCGAAGTCGCAACAGAGGAAGAAAGATCACATGCATAATTCATGATGCGGTTCGCGAATGCCACATTGGCAAGGCCGATTTTTTTTTCAAACTGTCACGCTACAAGACGTGGCATTAAATTTACACCACTGCTTCCTGTATCGAATTATTTGTCTTTTAGAAACCAGGGAAGTGTGAAAGTGACACCATGGGTGTTTTTTACATCCTATTTTTACATCCTTGGCCTACGAAATACGGTATTTCGCAATGGATTCGATGCTTAACTGTGCCTAAATGCAGGAAATGACTGGACTGGTCGCTGGCATGAGTTGAAGTCACTTTTCCTTTTAATCTTAAGAAAATGAAAAGGAAACATCCATTTCATTATTCGAAATGTCGTGATGAGGTAAGGTTTGAAATCTAGTTTACCCGAAGTGAAATTGTTACACGATCTTTCAGATTTGGCTCATACAGATTCAACTAAAAATAGACCAAAAAGAAATTCAAGGATTTCCGACGTTGAAATTTTGACAGAATTGTAGCGACATCAATCGGAATCAGAGATTTTTACGAAACTGATACTTTTTCGGGGAGTTTAGTTCGACAGAACTGCGTGATTAAATGTTAATAATTTAAGTCTCTTCTGGACGTGCCAAATGCGATCTAACATTCGAGAAGGTTTCCTAAATGTGTGACTTAAACACATGAAACAGAAATGAGATTGGTGGGAGCCATGAATGAGATGCGGCTCGAAATATTATGTTGCTGAACAACTAATTGTTTCATGTGATTATTTTATTGGACTGCACCATTTTCACGAGAAGTGCACACTATCGATAGATTAAAGAACAACCAAATGGAGGCGTAATTGGCAACACTTTTTTGGTGTGCTGAAGATGTTCCCATTCATCTTGCATCATTTAAAATGGTCCCTGTTATTCTACGGATTGAAAGGCCAAGAAAAGCCCAGGCTGGAGCCAATTGCAGTTTGTAGTTTCAAGTATAAGCTCAGTGGTTCCTAATCAGGAAGCTTCATGATAGGACAGCAGATTGGTCAAAAACACCCAGCTTGTCCCCACAAGTGTGCTCATGAAACAAAATGCAAAACTTAAAATTCCCTTGCCTGAATGTTTCTGAACCAAAGATATTAAGTGCAATAACTCAGTGACACCTCACATTCTTCCGATACGGTTCAACTGCAAAAGGCTTTCAGCACAATTTATACCTTTGGCGAGAAGATGACAAATGCAATATCGAACAGCCGTACTGTATCAATGACAGCCGTCTGAGCGCATTTTACACACGGCCTATTTTGTGGTTAAATCGTCTAGTGAACTGCTCATTTTGTTAAAAGATAAAAATAAAATTCTTTAACAATATGCCCCCAAAGGAAACAAATAAGACAATATCCCACAAGACTTGAACCCTGTCAAAGTTCACAAACACGCTTCACAACATCACCCAACTCTCCAAATTTACATGTTGTAGTTGCGTACTTGTGGGCCACTCTGTCTTTCAACGGCTCACCGCGTTCGGCACTTCAGTCTCCAAATTCGCTTTCCATAACTAAGTGCAGAGCGCGGCCCTATTATGGATACATCGTTCTTTACTGTGCTGACCCAGCCGTAAAACAAAATACCACGAAATATCGACAACGGTCGAAAATTCGTAAGAAATAATATCCCTGTGACACCGGGGTGTACATAGAATAGTTCAACAATTCGCCAGAAACCTCGAAGGGTCTTTCCTCAATATGGTTGTTACGTTTTTGTGCATTGATAGAGTTTAATAAAAATGACCCCACGCTTCGTATGGTGTCTGTGGCCCAAGCCATGACCTTAGCAACTCCATAGTTAGTGCATTTGTCCACCGATTGTGTCCCTTCACCACGTACGCCAAGTGCCTACAAGACAGAAAGAGGTGACGTGACTTAAAACAAGAAATCTATACCTCTATTGGTCGACTTACTGCTCTCCCTTCGGTGGGACTGTAGAGCGATGGATCTCACAAAAAGCACAGTTGGCCTCCACTTTTCAAACTACTGACATTTGGAGCGAAGATTGAGACTTTAATCCAAGGGGAAAAAAGTCTCGGTAATAAGTCCCGGACGAAGTTGGACTCTCAACGGGCACGGCTGGCAGCCAGCAGCAGTCGATCGTATGCAGGCGGCAGCAAGAACTTGTCATGAACCTCGGCCTTGGACAAGGAGGGGTGGTGTGGACATATTTGTCGGGCCCGGGAGACTTTCCCAAAGCGAGAGAAATGGAGTACGGCCCCATTCAATCTGACCAACGAATTGTGGAGTGTAAACCATTCCACGGCCTACATATTACGGGGTCGTGACCTATGTATACGTGTCCCCATTCTCGGGACGCTGGAGACGCCATGAACGTCAACTTGACGCAGGGAAAACCGGGCCTAGTCTCTCCTCAACTTCTTACCCGTTATTTACGAGCTTGTCAGCATAAATATATTAGCCTCCTCTCGTGCTCCCTGCACCCCGATGTCATCGAGACTAAGCCAAAAACAAGTTGGTATGTCAGTTCTTTATTAAGGCGGAGCGATGGGGTCATTTAAACTTGTGTGTTCAAAACCCCTTCCATAGGATAATAAATAAATAACTGTAAATAAATAGGCGTGGGGGATAAATCACAGCGAAACGGGATGGGTGCTGGACTTGGAAATCTTACGGCGATGTTTTACCGATTGCTTGGCAAGAAAAAGAAGGTGGGTACTCGTTAGTTTATAATGAAGAAGCATGGCGTGCATTCGCAGAGCACGAAAGTGAAGTAAATCGCGAAAGATCATTGTCCATTTGCTGGGGTCGCTCACAGAGACATATTTCCTGTCAGGAAAAAAAAAGCGTGGCTTCAAGTTTCAAAGCATCCGCCTTTGACTTAACACAGTGCGAGAAGGATTTCGGGAAATCTCTCAGTACAATTCTCGTTATGTGGACATCATTACACTTCGGAGTACCACAGAAGGTTTCAGATTCGCTGGTGCCGGCTGCGCATGTGCAATAACCTTTGTCCATTTCTCACCAGCAGGAACTCAAAGTGAAGATAGCACGGCTCATACCGCGTATACAAAAGCCTCAATCCTTCGTTGTACCATAATTATCATGTCAAAAACTCATGCATTCTGATCGAAAGGCATTTACAAAACCCCCCAAAAGTTTCCCGTGCATCATGTAGACTTCGAGGACTGCGATTTTGGAAAATATACAGTAATTTATGGGTTAAAATAATTATTTATTACAGGTCAAACAATACAAATCAGACTTATCCCATTTTAAATCCTTTTCTTTTTATTTTATCGTCTCCAAGTCAATGTATCTCGTACTCGACTCGACCAATTCATAGCATCGACTTTAATTGCTGCTAAATTAGCTCAAATCTAAACAAAATTTAATTCTACTTAGTTATATCGCACCTATCCCATTCTATGCAATGTCCAAATAAATGCCCGACACTTGATAGGTGAATAGTACATCGTGTTCTACGCTCGTATGATCCAGATCAAGATGCGAGTTTTCATTGAAGTGATACACGGCTGCATTCGGGATTTATTCATGCCCTGTACTAAGTATAAAGAATAATTGCTGTAAATTCGTGCAATGGAAAGAACTATTCCATACGTTGGCATTATGTAGTGTTCCATTCCATTTGCCCCCTCATTCGTACTACTGCGCCTAAACAAATCCTTTTTTTATATATCCGGTGTCGACAAAACACTACGAACTCCCTGAATTCATTTTAAACAAGACAACATGGATCAAATAATTCCTGATACTGATCGCAGATTTTCCTACCTACAATCCATCAAATGAAGAAACTTATTTCGTAAAAACAGTTTATTCAGCTAGTCAGTTGGTGATCACGATGACAGTGGAGTAGTTACTCCCAATGCACGGAATCAAAGGCCACTAGTTCATGAATCATGTGTTCTCATGGAGAATTTCTGACGAGTCTTATCGCCTCAACACGCGATAAGTAAACACGGCAATGCGTAAACACACACCTCACCCCTTCACTCAGCTCAACTGAACCCGACTCATATAATTTCATATGTTGGTACACCGTCTGAGGCTACCGACATTCATTCTGTGAACACAGTACAAATGTTATATTCAGAGACGACAGCCGGAATTGCATGCACCTGAGATAGCCATGCCTTGACGACACGCCGCGTGTGATAAAAGATCAATAAGAAGTGGCGCCCTCATTTGAAACGCTCGTGTCTCGCTGTTCGCACCTTCAATGAAAACGGATCTCCGACAACACATTTTGTTCAGCGACTTCATTTCAACAAAATACTCGGATTCAAAACCGGGAATTCTAAATAGGAGAAAAGAAATGAGTCTTAAAGAAATGTCTTTTTTCTGTAAAAGGCTGCCAAAACTACCACCTTCTGGACAGATTCAGCAATTACTTTCAGTGGACCGACAACCATTCGTGACCTTGAATTTCTGCATATTAAAGCACATCAACCGACTACAATATTATTGAGTAGCGGTAACCAAATCACCAAACGAAAGCATACTGTTCATTTTGCTCTGTTATTCTGGTTTGGGGTTCGGGAATCTTTGTTTTTAATTACATATAATCTTATTTTCTTTTATCATCGAAAAATTCAACTTTACTGATTTAGCACTGTTGCAAACGGGATCCAGTCATGTTATACTTTTGGAATGTAATGCCACTAAGGGCATTGTATTTACAGTAAACTTTCTATGAACACGGTGTCCAGCGTGAAACAGCCTGTGCGTTTTGTTTTGATGAGCCACGCATAATGTACACTTTGCGTGCGGCAGTGTAATTATATATAGCTAAGTAATGATCGCGCAGTTTAGAATAAAAGACGGTAATGCAACAAGGAATTGTTAAACTTCAAGTAAAGCTTGTTCTTCTTTTTTTGTGTCGGAAAATATGAAAAAAGAAACAGAAATAATGCCATAGCACACGGGCTGACTTACTTCAGCTCTTTACTTAGGCAAAAGCCGTCAGATATTTTGTGAGGGCTCAGCACAAAATGTAAATTGATTTGATTTGAAATTGATATCAAAGGAAAAAATGTATTCTTCATTATAAGGACACGATAACGGTTACATGGCGGGCCTTAACTTTTTTTAGCTTTTTGGTTTATTTGGTAAAAACAATGAAGATTGCCTTTCCTTTAATGGGCTAATTTTAATCTAACGGAGGGTGAAATACCCAAAATCTTTGGTAATGTCACCCCAATTTTGGAGATGAAAATTAATTTCTACTTTTTCAACAACAAACGGTTAATATTTACCCATTTCGTGGGTGAAAAATGAACTAGAAATTAGTTCTTACCCCCAAACTTTGGTTAACATAACCCATTTTTTGAATAGTTGCAATTTTCACCCTTCCATGGTTAAAATTTAACCTAGGCAATTTTCATTGTGAAAGAACCAGAAAATAGTGTAATTTCGTCAATGATTTAAATAACAAACGACCGTAAACTGAACGTATATGTTGTAGGGAAGTGAAGAACGCCTGTAATAGTGCCGCAATGACATCTAAAATTACCAGGTAAAGTAAACTGAGTAATCTTTGCGCTCAACACTTCTCTAACTGGTGTAGATTGTTCAATTTGATCTCATGATTATTGACTGATAAACCCAAGATAACGAAGCACCACCAATGCGTATCATTCTCTTTCCTCTTTTTCTATGTTTGGTCTGTAACCAAAAACCTGTAGTGAAAGTGTAAACGCATTAGGTTTGTCGTACGACATTTATTTATAATGAATGGATGAATTTGCGAGAAAAAAATGGAACTCAGATTCAAGACTACATGCGATGACGAGGCTCCTGACCCTTCAACCCCAAAAGCCATCGGGTTGGAAGGCTGGGAAGATAAGACACTAGCTTCGGCGAACTTGACTCCACGACTCTGACAAAAATGAAAAAAAAATGTTGAATTCCCTGTAGAATTCCCTAACTTTTTCTGATAACAGACAATAGGTTCATTTTAAGAACTGCAAGATTTATCCTTTTTTTTATTTGGCCCCGAGTGTGCCTTTTTTTCTTTTTACAGTCTTTTAAAATTACAAGAACAAGAAATGAAGACTTGGTAGGTGCTTTTTATAGAAGCTGCAAAGACGACCAAAGAATTTGGCATGGGTGAGATTTGAACCTGCGACCTCCATTTTGTTCCTTTGATATTGCAGCCAACAATAATGGACCTTTATTGCTACACTCTGTTGATTCAACGCAGACTCCAATCAGACTGCCTGACTCGACTCCTCTAAACGCCCAACCTCGTGGTTAATTTCCAAGACATTTTTTGTTTCATCTTTTACGGATCACTGCGGAATAATTCCATTACGAATTTAAGTCGGCATCTGGCCACATGTTGCTCCAAACAATGGTATTCCCCCTTCCCCGTTGTCAAGGAACAGAGAGGTTGATAAAATCCCTCTTTAAGACTTACCGTTTTAGGTGTGTACGCAGGGTGTCCCCCATACAATTCAAGCTTGATATATCTTTGCAGCCGTTAAGATCTCATGGAGTACCTTGAGAAGCCCCGGTGACCCCTCCATGATCCCCTCACCACCGATGGGTCGTCTCTGACTGTATACATTTTTGTCTTGAAGTACTTCAACTCAAACTTGCCGAGGGGAAACCGAGTGCTCTGGGTCTCCATGAATAAAATAACCAGTATTCAATAAATAAAGTGCGGTGATTCACTAAATGTCTCTTTTGAGGGGGGTTATTTTTGTGCTCAAAAGAAGGGGCTTGTGTTTAGGTAGGGAGTTCATTGTATGGCCGTGTGCAAATAAAATGTCTGGTAATGGCCGGGGAAGAATGGAACGAGCTATTAAGCGTAAACGGAGTTGGGGGTCTGACCGGTGGATATGCCCGGCACCTGGCGTGCGACTCAAAAGGGGCTCCAAACCTGTCTTTTATGGGTGAAGGTTAGCCCAACTTGTCGATCAAATTGCCGGGGATTTGGTGTGAATACGGGGGAGCATGGCCCACCCTTAGGCCCGCCGAGCAAGGCCGGCTCTCCTTCTCGCCGAGCTCTTGGTGCGCAAACATTTACTGTTGACTTAAGGAGACCAAACTCTCCAGTGGTCTCTAGGCGCACCCAATAGAGCATTCCCTCCCCTCGATCGGCTACTGTGCAATTCGCCTGGCTTCTCAGGCAGCGGTTTCCCCACCAGCTAAACCTCACACGGCCACACACACAAAAAAGAACTCCTTTTGATATGGAGCTATTATTTTCTTGAAACGTTTCAACGCGCGTCCGAGTTTGTGTACTCGAACACACAATACACCACTCGACCGCCGAAAATGTGCTTGGTTTATCTTTCCATTTTCCCCCTTGTGGTTGGAGTAGAAAATACGGACCGTGTCGGGGAATAACTGAATGGAGCCTATATCGTGCTGTAATATAATTGGCAACCA